AGAGTTCAGGTGGTCTCTTGGACAAATCACCCACTAGATAGGCAAAATAGGGTCTGTGCGTAAGACCAAAGGCAAGGGAAGATCAGGGGTTCCTGCCGYGGAAYGACCCGTGACGCGATCCTACGCTCGGGCCCATAACAGATTGGAGGCTGAAAAGGATCCAACGTGTTCTTCTTGCCACTCTCTACTTATAAAGGCAAGTTTCAGCTTTGAACCCTTGCAGTGTGATTAGATTGTTAAAATTCATAAAGGTGGTGCATTTCGCAGAATGAGCAGTGGAGGTGATATCAAAAGATAATAAATGCCAAGGGGGAGAGTGGGGGGCTGAAGATTGTCAAGAATCAGGAGGGAAGGAGGTTGCGGAGGATGGACGAGCTATTAGGGAAGAAGGGGCTGAATTTAAACAAATAGGGCCTGAGGAGGAGGGGGTCTCAGAGGGGGGTGAAGAAGAAAGTGCAACAGAGGATGGGGAAGAGGGATCCTAGGAAGGTGTGCTTACTCAAGCCTATAAAAGGAAGAGGAGATATAGAATGAAACTATTAGAAGATGATGGGGTGGAAAATGATGAGACAGTAGAAGAATGATTGACTTGGAAACTGTGGTAAACACTGCATGTACCTGTGGTAAACACAAAGTGGAGGTTAGCAGAACACTGGGCTTTTTCTTGGGGGGAAAAGATTTTGTGAGAGGTGTTTAAAGAATTGCAGGAGAAAAGAAATGGGCTGTCAATTGCGGAAGGAAAGGTAGTGAAAGAGAAGTGGCAGGAAAACCAAGGGAGTAAGGAAGAAAGGAGAATGAGGGGAGGGAGTGAACTGGGGAAAGAGGGGTCTTTAGAGGGGGCATAAGATGAGGGTTTGTTCATGGAATGCTAGAGGGTTAAGGGATTAAAAAAGAAGTTTGATAGAAATCTGGTGAGGCATTATAATTGGGTGGTAGTTAGCTTGTTGAGTGACAACAGAGGCAAGGTGGCAATACAAGCAAGAGATCAAGGCAATAAGCTGGTTGGCTAAAGGCTTAGTGGTTTCTTATAATTGGGTGCAAAGATTAGCTGATGCTTTGGCGGATGGCTTTGCTAAACAAGGAGAGAGTAGGGAAAATATGTTTTGGACTCAATGTAAACACCTTTAAATATGGGTTAGGGCAACTTATAATATTGGTGGAAAGAGAATCACTGTCTCGTTTAGAGTATTTGATATTGATCTCCTTAGGTACATCCACCTGCTTATCATTCGTTAAGTTTGCAAACTTGATAGAATCTCATTCATACTTTTGCTAGTTCAATACCTCTGTGACGTCTGAGTAACCTCCAAGCCAAGAAATAAGTCAATGGCCCAAAATATTTCATCATGAAAGAGTTATGAAGATCTTTCAATTATGTTAGGCCATCCAAATCATCTCTAGTAATCAAAATCAAGGATCAAAATGTCGATACATACCAATACCAAAAATTGGGTATCAGTGCGTATCGATAGACTGATACTACTGGGTTTTTATTTATTTATTTTTACTTTATCAATCTGAGAGGGATGTCTTCTATCATCCTAAACTTTAAAACCAAACTCTGTGTATATGTGTATCCATGACCTTGGATACAGATACGATACACCTGATACTGGGTGTATTATATTGTTATTTTGATCCTTGATCAAAATGTCATCAGAAAGGTAAACCTGAAAGAGTTTGAATGAATAGAGAAAATTATCATACTGGTTTTGCCCATATCCTATCATCATGATTACTTGGCGAAAATTGGCAAAGCAAGCTTGGGGTGCTTGCTTTATAAAGGGATTTCTTCAGCTTATAAATCATTGAATTATCAGTGCAGTAACTTAGAGGAGGTTTCATATAAACTCTCTTTCAAATGCCCATGATGGAATGCATTCTTTATGTCCATCTAAAATATGGTTCACTTATAAATGACAAAACAATAACTCGTACAGTGGTCATTCTAGCAACTAGAGCGAATGCTTATTCATAGTAGATCCTGTTTTCTTGCTTAATCCCTACGCAACCAGACATGCCTTATGTTTGTCAATAGTTTCATCATATTTAAGTATGAAAGACACCCACTTAGTGCTAATCACTAGAAGTGTTAGATGAAAGAGGTACAAGGTCTCAATTATCTTTTTCAACGAGAGATTGGAGCTCAGTGTGTCAGTGGCTTCTTTCTAGTGTGGAATGGCTATAGCTTGTTGGTATTTAGTTAGGATATTTTAGAGTCAAGAATAGTAGATAAAGCACTATATGTAGAAAAGAATCCATAATGATCAAGAGATCAAGAAATACGAGATGAATGATGAAGTGGAACAATAGAGGTAGGAATAATAGAAGAGGGGGAGATTTGATCACTTATTTAAGGTAGAAATACGAGATGATCTGGCTTTAGCAATGAAGAAAGAAGCAGCAAAGATTGAACTCATGTCTTCTTCATTCTTCCTTTGATAAACAAATATAGGCGGTTCGACAGCAAGTGGTGGAAGGCTAACTATGGGATTAATGCAGTAAAAATTATGAAAATGTGCAATTGGGGAACCTAAGGATTTAGCCATGGAGCCAATGCATGAAACCTTTTCTAGAAAAGCAACATTTTGAAAACATGCATAGTGGTGTTTACGATCATAACAAAGAAAAAATCCCTTGTGATTAGGACTATAATCAATGTAAAAACACAAAATAGATTGAGAAGAAGGTTTAGTCCCTTCATGAGGTGCTAATTGAAAAATACAAACAACCAAAAACATGTAAAATATTATAGTCTGAAGGACGTTGACTAAGAGATTCAAAATCAGAAACTTGGCCAACAGGAGTTGGTAACTGGTTAATTAGATACACAGCTGTTGAGGCCACTTGCCTACTTTTCTTTTTATCTTTCATTGAGTTATCCTAATAAAATAATAGATATGGTGCTGGAGGTCCACTAAGATTCCCTTCTATTCTGTCTACTCTCTTCTTCTTTTTCTCTTTTCCTCTCTTTTCCCTTTCCCCCCTTTGCAGGTTGGATTTCATGGTATCAGAGCACTTTTCTGGGCAGATCCAGTGTTTTAAAAGCGCAAGGGTCAATTTGTGCTCAAGTTGCAAGGCACAAGGCAGGCACACACCTTTTCAAAGCAAGGTGCAAAAATGCCTAAAAATTCAAAAAAAGCAAATAAGTTTAAAAAATATTATACATAATATTAATTAAAAAAATATAAACTTAAATTTTAAAATAAACGTTTTAAAAAAGACCTATTATCTAAAATTAAAATACCTAAACATAACATGTAAAACATATTCAAATGAAAATTTAAAAATAAACTCAAACATATAAAACTCTCAATCTCTCTTTGTTTTTTTCCAATTGCATTACTTCAAATAGCCAATGTGATGTAAAACATTTTGCATTCCTGATTTTACAAGTCACCTTTGTACAAGTCCCATGAGGCAAGCCCAAACAAGTCCATGTTTAAATTCTTAATCCCTACACAAAAAAGGTTTTATAACTTTAATTGCCTTTTAAGAAGATATATTCACCCTAATAAAATATTTTCTTAAAACGCAATTAAAGTTATAAAATCATTTTTTTTTTTTGTGTAGGGATTAAGAGTTTAAGACCTTAACATGGATTAGTTTGGGCTTGTCTCAAGGGGCTTGGTCCGAAGTTCAGGGGTGGAGCCCCGGGCCCCGTCACAAAGTTCAAAATAGAACAAAAGGTGCAAAAAATAAAAGAAATGCGCATGCCTGGGCTGAAGCGTTAGGCACACCAGGTGCACACCTTGTGAAATTGCTGTGCCTGGGGCCTTGGCAAAGGCATACCTTAATATGAGCCTCGCCTGTGCGCCTTCTAAATCACTGGGCAGATCTTATCAGTTTTTGGTGTTTCTTCATATTGGAATAAGTGCACCTATAGGGGGTTGGGAGAAGATCCTTGATGAGGATTCATACTTGATCAGACTCTTAATCAGCTTATGGTTAAGCAGACCTGTGTCAGACCTGACCTGTTGTGGGGTGGGTCAGATTAGGGTCAATATCCCATTTTATTTAATTTGGTTGGTTTGGGTGCTGGGTCCGGTTAGAGTAGCTTTCAATGAGCAATCCTTTGAGTTCGGTTTCATGTCTGGATTCCACATATAGATATTCATTCATTTTTCCAATGCCGTTAATCGACTTTATGGTTTAATTTGTATATTGTGAAGGTTGTCTTATACACCTGTGACACTTTGCTGCCTTAATGGCTCTTTTAATTGGCCACTGGATTGTCATTGTTAATTTGCAGCTATAATCGTCTTGGAAGGGATGCTGAAGAGGCAGATGCAGAAGAGATTATTGACATGGCTAGCAAAGCGCCCCTTGCTGATCAGCAGAAACAAGTACAAGAAAACATCCATTATCAAATCAAAACCTTCTGCACATCAATGGATGAAATTCTTCTTCCCAGTTTCAAAAGCATGGAAGGGCTACCTAACTCACATACACAAACAAATATTTCTCCCCAACGTAGTGGCCTTGGTTTGGCTATTGGTAGAAGCAAACTACCAACCAAAAATGCTGGTGAGAATTTGTGTTTTATCTTTCTCATTGCTTCTAAACATCTTTATGAAGTTGGATTTTAGGAGGAAATTTTTAAAATTGTACTATTCAATAATCAGCAGCTTCATAATATTCGAATCCATGATAGAGTGCACAGGCACACAAATATATAGGTATGTTGACCTTGTTATTGGTGGATTCCTTGACTGAACTAGGTCCAGTCTTGAGTTTCTTGACCTATATGTATTTGAATCCATTTGAAAGCATCCATCCTTGGAGTAGAAAATAGAAATCAGTTAAAATAAGAGAAGAAAGTGAAAAAGGAAGCAGAAAATTCTTGGAGAAGTAGAGAAAGAAGAAAGAAGATGGGAGAAGAAGAAAGGGGTGTCATTTATCAAAAAAAAGGGGTGCCAGAAAGAGTTCTGGCTGCCCCGCTCATTAGTATTTATATAAAAACATAAAGCTGTGTACAAGGACAATAATGCGACCACTAAGGCGGTAACTAGAATCACCATATAATGGGCCGCAGCCCAAGCCCAAAAATAAATAATAATAAAAAACATAACAAAAAACTAAACTGCAAACACTCCCCTTAAGTTGGGAATAGATGTCAATCATTCCCAACTTGTGTAGATCATGCTCAAATTTGTTTCTAGTGGTTCCCTTGGTGAAGACATCAGCTAACTACAACTTAGATGAAACATAAGTCAAACAAACTTCTCCTAAGGTTACTCTTTTTTCTTTTTATTATTTTTTGATAGATGAACATAATTTTATTATCAAATAGATCAAATGGTGAATGCATTACAAGCAGCCCTGGGAGAGGCATGAGATGTTACCTCTCCTAAGAAGTGAGATTTACATCAAAGCAAAGACAAAATTACAGAGGCCACTCTGAAGTTTTTTTGGAAGAAGTTTGGAGAAGATGGAGGGAGGTTTCTCACCGGCGCGAAGTTGGAGAAAAGTGGTGAAGATAGAGGCAAAAACTTTTGTTTTGGAAGAAGTTTGAACAAGAAGGACTGCAGCTTTGAAGATAGTAGAGCTGAGAAAGGCCTCTCTGATACTAGTAGGAAAGGCTGTGGGCTGGTTTCAGAAGATGCTGGAAATAGCAAGGTTAACTAAACCAGGAGCCTGGAAGCATTGCCATCTTGAAGAAGGGAAAAAGTATCTCGCGGAGAGAAAGGAAAATAAGAAAGGTTGGTACGTTGGAGTGTATGAGTTTTACGGGGAAGGCCTCAAACAATATACTTGTTTTCCAGAAGGAAAAGGAGCCTCAGGGTGGATGCAGATTTCCAAGGCTATACAGGAGTATTCCAGGCTTGAGACTGAAATGAAGAGAGCAGCAATGAAGGTTAGAAGCGAGGTTGGAGTGGCTGAGAAGACAGTCACCCTTGCCTTGACGGAAGCAGAAGGTACTGATGATGTTGTGAACAACTTCATGTATGTAACAAGGCCATTGAAGCCATTAATTTGGGCCAATGGTTCTACAGAGGAGTGGCAGAAGAAGTTGGTGGTAGTAGCGAGAGAGAAAGTCAAAGACTGGATTGAGCTCGGCGAAGAGTTAAAAGGGGTTCTAAAGCTATCAGGTAAAATGGAAATTTCTCCATTTGAAGACAACAAGGCGATACTCGAAATTCCACAAAGTCTTCCAGATTTTGCAGCACTCTCGGTGGTGACTAAGCAAGGACTGGCAACAGTGCATAGATGGGGATTCTCAAGCAATGAAAAGACCCTGAAACCTACAGAAAACATCAACCTGAGGATTTTGGGTCTTCCCTTCCATCTCTGGTTTGAAGAAGTCTTTTCTAAAATAGCAAAACTATGCGGAGACCTGGAATCCTTCGATGGTTCTGACCTTCATGCTGCAAAACTGAGAATAGTAGATGTAAAACCAGAACTGGTTCCGAGGATGGTAGAAGTTTTTGTTGATGATGTAGCATACAAGGTCTGGATAATATCCTCCTTAGAAGCTTGGTGGTGGAAGGAAGGAGGTGCTGGTGAAGAAGATGATGCTGACAAGGAGAGAGGAAGTACACGTCGCCTATCGCAAGAGGAGAAGCAGGAGAAAGGGAGACCTTAAACGAAAATGGAAGAATAAAAGTCTGGAAGATGGAAAGGCTCTGGGAAACTCTCTGCTTTTAATAGAAGTTGTAATTCTCAGAACACGAACCTAAGGACCCAACTGTTTTCCTTCGCTCAGGTGGTGGTGTGTAAAGATAAGCAAAGTCCTACTCTACATATGGCGGCGGGTAGCTTAAAAACAAGTGTAAAGTCCTATGAATAAACCAAGTGGAGTTAAAGGGCTGAACCATTCTTCAAAAGGGTCGGCTCAAAAAGGAGGACCACATAAGGAAGGCAGGTCAATGGGTAAAGGGCAAGAGGCATGTGGTCTTTTACGTCACCACGTGACTGTCAAAAGGAAGCCAAGCACAGTGGATAATAATTTGGGTCTATTGTCTTCTAAGTCGAACCAAAACAGGACTGCTACAGTCACAAACTCACAGATGTCTTTACAATGGAGAAAAGGACTTCTGTCGAGCTCTCAGAGCGATAGGCCTAATCCAAGATATGACCGAGCAAGATCGGAGGAGCCCGAGGATGGTGATGAGGACTGGATACCTTGTTCAGATTCCGACAGTGAAGATATTCAGTCAGAGGAAGACTCCAACATAGGAAGCATCGGCGAAGGCAATACAGGGGAGGAAGTATTAGATATGGACCTAAACTCTGATTGGTTGTTTGGGGGATTGAAGGAACATGGTAGATGACACCAAGTCAGTAACTTCCCTAGTTGAAGCGGCTGTTCCTAGTTTTAAGCTGGATGGGAAACCAAAGAACTTTCTGCAAATTGCACCAGACTTTTCCTCTCTGTAACCAGGTATTGAAGTCAATTCAGTTTTTAGTATTGGTCCTTCTGTTGTGCCTGAAACAGGTGTTCCAGAGTCCTCTGCTCCTGCCCATCCAAGTGTCACTGATTTGCTAGCTCCAAATAAGATGGTTGAAAGGGTTTTCCGAAACTTTGAGGAGAGATCAGAGAGAGAAGAGAAGGAAATAGGGGAAAAATCTGGAGTTTAATCATTGATCTTCTTGAGGCTTAAAAAAGGGAACTGGAAAAATTGACAGAGAAGTCTGTAGGTCCCTTATCTGACTCAAGAGGAACAAATCCTGTTGTGTTTGAGGAGCAGGATAGGAGGGAGGGAGAGAATGATTCGGTTGCTGGTTTTATTGTAAAATTAGGGTGTAAGGTTAAGGATCCTAATGAACTAAAAGCTTACCTCAGAAAGTTGGAAGAAGGGGAGAAAAAAAGGAAGAAGAAGCTAAGTGAGTTGAGAGGTTAAGGATAGATGTCAAAGGGGATAAGGAATTCAGTGGTAGAGGGGGAAGAGGAAGAGGGGAGAGAAGAAGAGGGAATTAGAGAAGCGGCCAGCGGGTAGTAATAAGAGGAAGTTCTGATAAAGTGAGAATGAGGTTAATAAGCTGGAACTTGGGGAGTGCAAGGAAAAGGGCATTAATAAAAGAGGTTCTCAGAAAAGAAAAGCCTGATGTGGTATTGTTGCAAGAATCCAAATTGGTAGACTTTGATAACAGGTGGGTAAGAAGCCTGTGGAAATCCAGGGGGATAAGTTGGGCAATGACCCCTTCTTGGGGGGCCTCGGGTGGCATTATCACTCTATGGAGGAGTGAAGTATTGGAAGGAGTAGAAGAGCTGTTTGGAAATTTTACAGTGTCCATTAAGTTTAGACAGGTTGAGGATGGATTCGAATGGGTTTTAATCATTATTTATGGACTGAATAGCTATAGAGAAAGAAATGAATTTTGTGAAGATCTTAGTGTTATCAGAGGCTTGTGGGAGAGTCTGTGGTGTATTGGGGGTGACTTCAATGTTAGATTCACAGAGGAAACAAATAACCCAAGGCAAAGGGTCACAACTAGTATGAGAAATTTTAATTCCTTTGCGAATATACCACAATTTCACTTGGTCAAACCTCCAACTTAACCCTGTTTGCTCCAGATTAGATAGATTCTTATTCTCAGTGGATTGGGACGAACGTTGGGGTGGGCTAATCTCGAAGGTTTTACCAAGAGTAACTTCAGACTATTGGCCAGTTGCACTCTATAAGGAATACTTGAGAGGATGGGGCCCAACTCCTTTCAGATTTGAAAACATGTGGCTAAGTCATCCAGGGTTTATTCATAAAATAAAAGAGTGGCGGGAGGAGGAAAGACCTAGTGCTAATTGGAAAGGAATGCAATTCCATAGGAGATTGCAAGGATTGAAAGCAAAAATCAAGGAATGGAATGTGCAGCACTTTGGTAGATTGGAACAAATCAAACAAGAGGTTATTGATCAGATTGAAGAAAGAGATAGATCATTAAGATGGGAGCTGAAGAAAAAATTGGAGGATACCTTACTAAAAGAAGAAACTAGTTGGAGGCAAAAATCAAGGATGAAGTGGATTAAAGAGTGAGATAGAAACACAAAGTTTTTCCATGCTGAGGCCAATGGAAGAAGAAATAAGAATTTTGTTTCCAAATTGGAGATTGATGGTGAGGTCCTATCTCAGCCAGGAGAGATAGCAAGGGATTTTGTGGTTCATTTCAAATCTATATTCAGGCAGCCCATTGGTGAAAGGTTTTGGGTCGAAGGGTTGGAGTGGCCATCTATACCTGAGGATCTAAAAGCCGGGTTGGAAAAGTCCTTTGAAGAAGAGGAAACCAAAGCGGCTGTATTTTCAATGGATAGATCTAAAGCTCTAGGGCCAGATGGCTTTACTATAGCATTCTATCAAGATTGTTCGGAAATAATAAAAACTGATATTTTGGAGGTTTTCAATGAATTCTTTGAAAGAGGAGTAATAAACCCTTGGTTGACAGCCACCTTTATTGCCCTGGTTCCTAAAAAGAAGGTTGCAACTCACCCAAAAGACTTTAGACCAATTAGCTTGGTGAATAGTCTCTACAAAATAATAGCCAAAGTTTTATCTCAAAGGATCAGGAAGGTTCTCCAGTTATCATATGTC